AGATGCTACCATCACTCCATGCCCTGGTCATTGTGCACTTTTCCAATATAACGATGATCTAAAACACACATCTAAGGCCACTGTTGCATTTCTGAAGATGAACAGGGTGAAAGTGATTCAGTGACCAAGTATGTTTCCTGATCTGTACCCAATCAAACACCTATGGGGAATTCTGACGAGACAAGTTAAGAATCACCCTCCATCCAGCATCCAGGCTCTAAAAGAGGTCGTTCTTGAAGAATGGAAGAAGATAGATGTTGCAATATGCCGCCAACTTATTCATGCCATGCCTGGAAGACTTGGTGCTGTCCTTACAAATCATGGAGGTCATACAAAATACTAGATGTAGCAGTTTTTGTTATGGGGTGTATTCATTTTTGCCTCAAATAATTTTCGCAAAACCGAAGATTTCATAATCTAAGTTATATTATTAACCTTACTTTCATGTAATGAGCTAAACAAAATTTCTATAAAAAGCAGAAATAGTTTTTGTGTTCATTGAGATATTGAGTAAAATCTTACTTTTCAAAAGGGGTGTACAAATTTATGCTGAGCACTATATATATACAGTCATGGCCGAAATTGTTGGCACCCTTGATATTTTTCCTGAAAATCAAGTATTTCACACAAAAAATTGGTATTGCATTAACACATGTTTTGCTATACACATGTTTATTCCCTTTGTATGTATTGGAACAAATATAAAACAGAGGCAGAAAAGCAAATATGACATAATGTCACACAAAATAACCAAAAATGGGCTGGACAAAAGTATTGGCACCCTTAACTTAATATTTGGTTGCACACCCTTTGGAAAACATAACTGAAATCAGTCGCTTCCTATAACCATCAATAAGCTTCTGACACCTCTCACCCGGAATTTTGGACCACTCTTCCTTTGCAAACAGCTCCAGGTCTCTCTTATTGGAAGGACGAATCATGCTTCTCTTTTCAACAATGAACTTTTCCCCAACAGCAATTTTAAGATCCTCCACAGGTGTTCAATGGGATTTAGATCTGGGCTCATTGCTGGCCACTTCAGAACTCTCCAGCGCTTCTTTGCCATCCATTTCTGAGTGCTTTTTGACGTATGTTTGGGGTCATTGTCCTGCTGGAAGACCCAGGATCTTGGACGCAAACCCAGCTTTCTGACACTGGGCCCTACAGTGCGACCCAAAATCCTTTGGGTAAACCTCAGATTTCATGATGCCTTGCACACAGTCAAGGCACCCAGTGCCAGAGGCAGCAAAACAACCCCAAAACATCATTGAACCTCCACCATATTTTACCGTAGGTACTGTGTTTTGTTCTTTGTAGGCCTCATTCCGTTTTCGGTAAACAGTAGAATGATGTGCTTTACCGAAAAGCTCTATCTTGGTCTCATCTGTCCACAAGACGTTTTCCCAGAAGGCTTTTGGCTTACTCAAGTACATTTTGGCAAACTGTAGTCTTGCTTTTTTTATGTCTCTGTGTCAGCAGTGGGGTCCTCCTGGGTCTCCTGCCATAGCGTTTCATTTCATTTAAATGTCGACGGATAGTTCGCGCTGACACTGATGCTCCCTGAGCCTGCAGGACAGCTTGAATGTCTTTGGAACATGTTTGGGGCTGCTTATCCACCATCCGGACTATTCTGCGTTGCAATCTTTCATCAATTTTCCTCATCCGTCCACGACCAGGGAGATTAGCTACAGTGCCATGGGTTGCAAACTTCTTGATAATGTTGCGCACTGTGGACAAAGGCAAATCTAGTTCTCTGGAGATGGACTTGTAACCTTGAGATTGTTGATATTTTGCCACAATTTTGGTTCTCAGGTCCTCAGACAGTTCTCGTCTCCTCTTTCTGTTGTCCATGCTTAGTGTGGCACAGACAGACACACAATGCAAAGGTTAAGTGAACGTCTCTCCTTTTTATCTGCTTTCAGGTGTGATTTCTATATTGCCCACACCTGTTACTTGCCCCAGGTGAGTTTACAGGAGCATCACATGCTTGTAACATTCTTATTTATCCGCAGTTGTGAAAGGGTGCCAATACTTTTGTCCAGCCCATTTTTGGAGGTTTGTGTGACATTATGTCGAATTTGCTTTCTTTCCTCCCTTTTTTTGTTTTGTCCCAATACACACAAAGGAATAAACATGTGTATAGCAAAACATGTGTTAATGCAATACGTTTCGTGAGAAATACATGATTTCCTGGAGAAATATCAAGGGTGCCAACAATTTCGGCCATGACTGTATATATACTGTATATATATATACTGTATGTATATATATATATATATATATATATATATATATATACACACACACGCACGCTATATTGCCAAAAGTATTGGGGCACCCCTCCAAATCATTGGATCTAGCTGCTCCAAACGCCTCCATGGCCATAGGTGTGTACAAATCAAGCACCTAGGAATGCAGACTGCTTCTACAAACATTTGTGAAAGAATGGGTCAATATAAGGAGCACAGTAAATCAAGAGTGGTACCGTCACAGGTTGCCATCTTTGCAAGAAGTCCATCCCTGAAATTTCCTTGCTACTAAATATTCTGTGGTCAATTGTTAGTGGTATTATAACCAAGTGGAAGCAACTGGGAAGAACAGCAAATCAGCCACGAACTGGTATGCCACGTAAAATGACAGAGCGGGGTCAGCGCATGCTGAAGCGCACAGTGCACAGAAGTCACCAACTGTCTGCAGAGACAATAGCTAAAGACCTCCAAACTTGGTGTGGCCTTCAGATTAGCAACAACAACAGTGTGTAGAGAGCTTCATAGAATGGGTTTCCATGGCCTAGCAGCTGCATCCAAGCCGTACATCACATGCAAATGCAAAGTGTCGGATGCAATGGTGTAAAGCATGCCACCACTGGACTCTAGAGCAGTGGAGACGTGTTCTCTGGAGTGACGAATCACGCTTCTCTGTCTTACAATCCAATGAACGTGTCTGGGTTTGGCGTTTGCCAGGAGAACAGTACTTGCACCCCGCAGGCTTTGGAATATTGAGGCTTGGCTGACTAGACTGTGCCAAGCGTAAAGTTTGGTTGAGGGGGGATTATGGTGTGGGGTTGTTTTTCAGGGGTTGGCCTTGGCTCCTTAGTTCCAGTAAAGGGAACGCTTATTGCGTCAGCATACCAAGACATATTGGACAATTTCATGCTCCCAACTTTGTGGGAACAGTTTGGGATGGCCCCTTCCTGTTCTAACATGACTGTGCACTAGTGTGCAAAGCAAGATCCATAAAGACATGGATGAGCGAGTTTGGAGTGGAGGAACTTGACTGGCCTGCACAGAGTCCTGACCTCAACCCCATACAATACCTTTGGGATGAATTAAAGCGAAGACTGCGAGCCAGGCCTTCTCATCCGACATCAGAGCCTGACCTCACAAATGCGCTTCTGGAAGAATGGTCAGACATTCCCATAGACACACTCCTAAACCTTGTGGACAACCTTCCAAGAAGAGTCAAGGCTGTTATAGCTGCAAAGGGTGGGTCAACTAAATACTGAACTTTATGGACTAAGACTGGGATGTCATTAAAGTTACATGTTCATGTAAAGGCAGGCTGACCAATGCTTTTGGCAATAGTGTGTGTGTGTGTTTATTTATTTATTTTACCCCACTAGTGGTGATATTAGGAAGAAAGAAGCCTTTTTCGTCACATCACATCAGCTTCTCACCCAGATTCTCCATCCCTGGGCTAGAAAAACCGGGACAGAGATATTTTTACAGAGATGGCCAGTGAGATCTTCAGATCGCACCTTCATAAACCAGCCATCTCTGTAAAAGTGAATGGCAGAAGGGTGTGTCCTGTGATGAACATATTCTCCTCTCCTCACCTCAACTTCATAAATCAGTTCATGATGTAATATATATGTTTCAATGAAGTTTTATAGATAGTGCGCTTAGTATGAGATGTACTCGCCGCTGGTATTGGGTTATAATAGCAATGTGCTGTATGGGCGGTGATACCTTTAGCAAAATGGCGGGATTGATTTCATTGCCAATTTCAGAGAGCAATATAAGGAAGACCTTCTTTCTAGACGTCCTTACCCTTTATGAATAAGTCAGGTGACGAAACATGTCAAAGGGAAGTGACGTCAAGACGTGTTGAGTAACAGGAAGTTGCCGGTCGGCCATCTTGGAAATCTTGGAAATTCCATTCAGAGACACAGGAGGAGTGTTCCTGAGGATCTATGGAGGGTCTGTTCGTAATTTTAATATGATGTGACATTTATGCAATAAAATTTATGTGGTATTGAAGAACTTCCTATTGCTGTTTGTGGTGGCATTATCCGGAGTCATTGAGAACATGACCGGATGAGTTCTTACATGAACTTTATCAGTATAATCTGCTCAGCTTTGGAGGGAATCTATATGGTAATGGAGGAGGAATTTCCCACTTGCTAAGTTTGAATAGCCATTTTTGGATTGGGACTTACATGCTTGTTATATCCATGTTCTGGTTCGATCTCCATAATCACTGGATCTACATTCGGCTGGAAGCCTTTTTGCAGACTGTCTTTCTGGAGGATTTTTGTCTATTCTGTTTATTTTATTTGATTATATTTTATTTTTTATTGTGGACAATATCATTTTTGGACAGTAGTATGTATTTATTTATTAGTGTTATTTAGTATATTAGCACTTTATATATATATATATTTGGATGATACACTTTTTGGGGTGAAAAGTGTTTAGGTGCAATTGGGGAATTATTTAAAGGGTTAACCGTTCATTTTTTGTTATTCATAAATTGGCACACATGAGAGGATCAGCTGATATCATCAGTATCTTGGCTTTTCTCTCTTTTATAAATGGACACCATAGTGTAGTGAGTTTAATGAGTTTAAACCACATGGGCCACGGTCGAGCTGAGGTTAGCGAGTCTGGAACTAATGTAATAAAACAGATTTTTGCAGGTCTACAAGTGAATTATCGGCAAATTCATCCCTCTGAACTGTAACCCATAATAAGTAGCCAAAAAATAATTTCTAGGCTCACCTTGTGTCTGAGAATTCTAAGTTGATGACATTGAGTACTCTTTTTCTGTTGGTACTATAATAATAGTCAACAAACTCTTTCAACTTCATCTTGCAGTCTTTCTGCTTCGTGACATCGGTGACATCAACCACTCTCTCGGGACCTGGAAAGTAAAATGTAGAAACTGTTAAAGTGGTTGCAAACCTCAGACATGAAATATGAACAAAATAGCTTGAAGTTCTGTGGACAAATCAGCATTAAAGTGTGACGCTAACCAAAACTTTTTTTTTTACAGTTCTGATTGGGCAAGGGGGAGGGGGAGTTAGGATCTGTCAGGCTTTTTCTGCTTTTAATGCATCAAACCACAACACAACACACAAAACTTCATACAGACCCATCTGTGGGGGTGGGTGCATGGCTAAATGGAGACATTATCAAATCCAAAGAGCAGAGTAGAGCTAGCACACCAACTTGATGTCCAAGTAATTGTCTACAGAAGTCTTGTATCAGAAAAACATTATACTAATATGAGACTTCAGTAAACACTTAAGCCGGTTGTAGACGATGTAATGTTCTTTCTGCAACCACAGATTGCAGGAAAGAAAATCGTTTGAACATTCCATGTAGCCATTGTGTTCTCCAGGAAGAGAGGCGTGGGAGAGGGCCGTTCCTGCTAGGACAACACAGTGATTATTGCTAGTGGCTATAGCCCCTGGCAATAATCGCATGATAAATCGAACAGGCTGGTTGTACCCAAGTCTTACAACAACCAAATAGGGAACAATCAGCCTGCCCATAGATGGTTTATATCTCAGACGTTCCCTGCTGAAACAGCCAAGATTCGAACCATCTATGGCAGGCTTTACTCTGGACCTCAAGTTGGTGTGCTGTCCCATCACTACGCTTTAGTTTTTTTATGCAGTGTTATAGGTATGGATGGCGGTTGGCAGTCAATAAAACTGAAGTTTATTTGAAATTGCAGTGCAGAATAAGGTATATTGCATAGAATAAAGTGACACTGGTAGACAACCGTGGAAGGTGCCTCGGTCAAAAGCCAAGGACTTTTAGAAGAGAAAGCACATGATGACAAAGAGTTAAAAATTATCAAAATCTCATAAAAAAAATCAAAGGAAACAAGGCAACATTTTTTGAGGAGGGATCTAGATTTCCCACTTCATTGGGCCTCTGTGTATTGACCGATATACTAAAGTGCTGGACTGTAAAGGAGTAAGATGATTCTGGACTGATAACTCTATAGGGAAGATTTACTAAAACTGGTGCACTCAAAATCTGGTGCAGCTCTACATGGTAGCCAATCAGGTTCTAAATGCAGCTTGTTCAATTCAGCTTTGACAATAAAACCTGGAAGCTGACTGGTTTCTATGCAGAGCTGCACCAGATTTTGCACTCTCCAGTTTTTAGTAAATATCTCCCTATATATTGCAAAGTCTTCATCTGTGCTATAAAGCAACAGTTCTGAAAGTTCTGTTTTCAGCTCCTGAAAGCTGTGCTCAAGGAGGGGTTGTGGAGAGACCAGGTATGTGTTTTTTGTGATGCAACAGAAAAGAAGTAGGCAGGGCTGACACCATTTGCTTAGCAATTCAGAGATGAAATACAGTGTTGCCATGTCAAAGAGAATGGTAGAAGCACACTATATGTTTGGTACACAACAGTTGTTTTTCTGTAATTGCAGTGAGTTTAAAGGGATAAGCCAAGGGGAGATTTATATGTATCATAGATATGTACTGAATAGGTTTCTTTTTGTTTTGCCTTGACATACTGTACAGCTGAATGCACAGCAGCATATAGAAATTATCTGTTTGCCTCTGTGCATAGGAAAAAAAAATAAACGTAACTTCCATCATTTGTGATAGAATGAAGGTACACCATGCCCTCAACTGTCTGAAACTATTGGTGTATTTCATATTATCACAAATAAAGTACACATGATGACAGAGAGTAGGAACTTACCAACGTAATTCTCCACGTCACTGACATAGAAGGTTGGAGCGGGTACAGAAAGGCCAAGACCATCTTTCTTTGGCACCAGAATTGGTTCTATAAAACCAGTGTCTTCAAAATACTCCACTGTCAACTGATTGCCATTCAGTTTAGTCACCACATCCTCAGCACTGTAAGAAAAATACCAACATTTATTATTAGTCAGACCTATTTTAAAAGAAGTGCAAAGTTCAATTGTTGTAAATCTTTTTTTAAGAAGTCTTCACACCATAGAGCAGACCAATGACTTCCTGGCACATCAAAGTGCACCATGTGACCTAATCTACTGACATGACAGATAAATAATGAGCATTTAATAAACCAAAACTGATATACTGTCAACATGGAGAGATGCAAAAGGTGATCCACAAAGCATAGAAGTTCATACTTAATTTTTTATGCATTCTCTAGAATAGTGGTTTCCAAACTGTGGCCTATGGGTTGAATGTGGCCCTTTCTGCTTGCCTTGGGGCACTATTCCTCCCACTAACATCAATGATGAGGCACCATTCCTTCAACTGACATCAACAGTGCGGCACTATTCCAGCTACTGACACTAAAGATAGGACCCTAGCCTTCAAATGACACCAACGATGGGGCACTATTCCTCATACCAACAACAACAATGAGGCACTATTCCATCCACTGGCACCAATGATGGGGCACTATTCTTCAAATGACACCAACGATGGGGCACTATTCCTCCTACCAACAACAACAATGGTGCCTTATTCCTTCCGCTAACACCAAGGATGGGACACCGTTCCTCCTACTGATATGAGGCACTATTCCTCCCACTAACACCAACGATGATGTACTATTCCCTCCACTGACACCAACAGTGTGGCACTATTCCCCCTACTGACACTAAAGATGGGGAACTATCCTTCAAATGACACCAACGATGGGGCACTATTCCTCCTACTGACACCAACAATGAGGCACCATTCCTTCCACTGACACCAACAATGAGGAACTATCCTTCAAATGACACCAATGATGGGGCACTCTTCCTCCTACTGATACTGTCATCACAATGATGGAGCATTATTCCTTCTGCTAACACTATTGATGGGGCACTGTTCCTCCTACTGATATGAGGCGTTATTCCTCCCACTAACAACGACAATGATTTACCATTCCCTCCATTGACACAACAGTGGGGCACTATTCCGCCTACTGACACTAAAGGTGGGACACTATTCTTCAATTGACACCAATGATGGGGTACTATTCCTTGTATTGAAACCAACAATGAGACACCATTCCTTCCACTGACATAACAATGAGACAACATTCCTTCCACTGACACCAACAATGAGGCACTATCCTTCAAATGACACCAATGATGGGGCACTTTTTCTCCTACTGACACCAACGATGGAGTATTATTCCTTCCGCTCACACCAACAATCAGACAATATTCCTTCAAATTACCCCAACAACGGGGCACTATCCTTCAAATGACACCAATGATGGGGCACTCCCCCTCCTACTGACACCAACGATAGAGTATTATTCCTTCCACTAACACCAACGATGGGGCACTATTCCTTTAAATGAAAGTCAACAATGGAGCACTATTCCTTTAAATAACACCAACGATGGGGCACTATTCCTTCAAATTAAACCACTGCAGCCAGGTGTCACGGAGCTCTTCACATGAGCTCTGGGCATGTCTAAATTCTGAAGATTACACTGTATAGCTCTCTCTCTCTGCTTGTCCATTCACCAATCAGATATACATTCCAAGGTAAAAATAAATCCGTTGGCTGTCAGAAACTTATTAGCACTGATACACTGATATATTAAGCATGTGGTATACAAGATTTGGCTGTGTTTGTAAATGTCTTTGGAATTACACACAAACATGCATTAAAGCTAAGTGAACTATAGCCTATGACAGCTGCAGGAAGAATGAGAAACAGAAATGCTGAAAAAATATAGATGTGCAACTGGGGTTAACACCTTAAAGTGTATCTATGGTCAAAATGTAAAATCATATATTTATTTCCATGTTGTATTTCAATTATTTCTAACCTACTTCTATTAATCTGAGCAATCCTGAAAAATGTAAAACTTGCTATGGCTTGTGAGTAGGTACTACTATTTCACAAAATTCAGAGCCTGCCTTCTTAAAGTGGATTTCCAGTCTTTTTTTAAACTTCAAATATTTCAAATGCCCCTCCAATGTACAGTGCAAAATGAAAATCATTTTTTTGTTTGTTTGTTTGTTTGTTTCTAAATACCTTTATTATAATTCTTCTAGCGGCACTTCCTGTCCCGGCTGCCTAGGCGATGACGTCAGTAGGCAATTCCCATTGACTCCTGGATATCGGCGTCATCTATCCCAGGAGTCTTTGGGAAGCCTAATAATGTAATGTGATTGACAGGTTTCCATAGGAACAGGGTGGGTACTTCCGTGACGCCGCCATTGCTACGGCAACCTGCACTTAAAACAATGCGCCGTGCAGTGTCATTACTGTGCAGGCTCGAGATCGGGAGGTGCATGCCGGGTAGCCAGCTGCACCGAATCCCGGAAAAAGACACAAGTGGGCTTCAGATGCCCACATCCTAAATGGCCACCTGCCCGCATCTGAGATCAGGTACATTTTTAAAGATTTTAATCTAACAAGCACGAATACTGTTCTAACAGTATTGTAATTTAAATGTACAAGTAATAACAATCACAAGGGAATTTAAAAAAAACTGATTATGGGGACTGGAGCTCCGCTTTAACTACAGAGGTGCTAGGAGGGGGAATTTCAAGAGGCGGAGTCAGTAAAGGGATCACAGCTTGCAAGGCAGCAAGGTACCATGGGATATGTAGTCCTTAGAAAAAAGTAAATAGCAGTGGAGAAGCTCAAAAGCATGCTGGGAATCCGGGAAGTTGTGGAAAGAGATGACCAGCAGACAGACAGCACTCACAACATGAAAGGGGATTTTCAAGTAAACTTATATTGGATTGTCAAAAATAACTATCATTTGCATTGTTATTACAATGCTGATGGTCTAAAATGAAAGTGTATGTTGTGACCATAGAACTCCTTTCAAGAAATACAGGATAAAAATGACCAGCAAAGTAACATAATGTCAGGGTATATGTCTGGAATTTCTTTTAGTCTGATTGTGATATGCATTAGTACCTGAATGAAGGTTCCTCTCAGCTAAGTACTTAGACTTCAAAGGATAATAAACAGAGACATGGAAAAGGTATTCTCTGGTAAGTAAAACTGCATTATGGGAAATGGCTAGATTGGGTTCTGACTACAAAGAACCAGTGTAATCTTGCCAGATGTTTTCATTCAATGCCTTGATTATATATATTTTTTAAGCCCCCCTCCCCTCAAAAAATCACATATATAAGTGGCTCTTTAATGTGAATATCATCTACTTGAGTGTCTTGTCTGCGGTATTCTTTAAAATGAACTCCAGATTACATAAAACAATGTAATGATACCACTTATATGGAGCGTTTACAATTTTTATGAAAAATAGTTCAGGTATAATACCCCTGTCAGGAAAAGAAGTCACGCTGGGTGAGCTGTAGACTTTTCACATGCAACAGTGCCACTACTAAGGCCGGCCATACATGGGTCGATTTTCGAACGGTTTTTCGATTTGAAAAACGGACCTAAGAGTAATCGGCCGATTTTCGCTGTTAGTGGGGCAATGGCACTGGACGATTTTCGTGGTTCCTCCCCAGTTCGTTTATCGGGCATGCTGGAAAATTAGTGAAAACAACCAATTTTCAAAATCATTGGTGGCACCATCGGATTACAGAAAAAACATGTATGACCCATGTATGGCCTGCTTAAGTGATTAGCCCAGCAATGTCACATATCCCTCCATAAACAGAAGTACGCTGTACCAGACAGGGGAGAAATTAAACCCTGGCAAACCCAGATCGGTTTGACCAGAAGCCATCCCTTGAAGGTAGTAACCTGCAACCAAAAGACCAAAACCGTAAGTGACTAAATACTCTTTTGTATATCATAGAGATGATCAGGGACTTTCCGGTCCTCAAACACCTCTTTAGTATGCCCGGGAGAGCCTGGTGTCGGGGCGGGAGGGGGGGGGGGCCTCCTCTCCTTCCACTGCCTGTAAAAGCAATCCAGTGGCTAATTAGCTGCTAGGACTGCTTTTACAAAAAACTGCATCACCCATAAAAAAAAAACAACAACTCCGGAATGACATCATCTCGGTAATGTTGAGATATAAATATGTATTGCGGTTGGTAAGTGGTCAAGCAGTACTGAACTCCCGCAACCCTGTCCTCTATGTCATCATGACTGATAGTGCAGCTTGCACCTGAGTCACTGCGGTGCCCAGTCAGGTAGAAGCAGGACTGGCTGCGATCTTAAAAAATTTACAGATAGGAAGCAAATCTCAGAGCAGGAGATGTGGATCTGACTTTGTAATTCTGAACTTACTGTGTGACTTTTCAGAGGGTTGCAGATTTTTTTTTAAACTGATGGAGACACGATCTTCTTTAATTATACAAGTAATCTAAATCGCTGTCTTTTCATATTAAAAATCACTTCATTTCATGAAGAACTCATGTATTTCTACATATGAAACTTAAAAGAAAATGTGCTAACTACAAAAGAGTGTTTATGACAGGCTCTAGAATACAGTTACACTTGTAATGAATTATTGATTTAATTTATGGATTATATACATAAAAAACAGACATGCCTATTAGGCATTTATTGATTCATTTGAAAACATTTATTTAAACAAATTGGTTACATGACATGAGAAATGAGACATGACACGAGATGGATGGTAAGGCCGACATGCAAAGAATTATTAATACAGCGCACGACAGTTTATTAACAATTCATGTTGTTTTCAAATGGGAAAAACAGAGATTGAGCATAAAACAGAATCTGTTGTTAATAAACGGCTATGCATCAATGTCATAATAAGGCCTTCGGAGTGTTCAAGTTAAAGTCCACAGACTCTTCTACAAGTGAGAGGTACAAATATTGGAGCCTATTGGTTATTTCAGATCCATACAATTGCACATTGTAACTTCAAGTGGGCCCGCCAATGAGAAACAACGTCCTTTGGCCCTAGGCAGTTTCACCGACTTCTTAGAATTTTCGAGGGCAATCCAGCCTTTGTAAGTCTATC